AGTTGCCATAAGGTAACATTAATGCAAATGTAATGATCATTGTAGTCCCGGTTTTGAAGAGGAAGTTAATTGCTGTTAAAATATATTAACATTGTTTCTACTTACTCATTCCCTGAGAATTTTGCTGCCCAACATCTGTTTTTCTTTGTTTTTTCAATTAGACTTGCACATTTCCAAAGTAAGCTCTGCTCCCCACCTACAACTGTATGAAAAGGCCGGCTACAATTAGTTCTTGCAACAGCTTCTTCCCTTCATATCAATTAAAACTTTGAACCAAAATTCACAAAGGGATTACAAGTGAAAATGTAGAGCTATTAGAAGGAAATAATTTCAACAATATGGGCAATTTGAGGCAAGTCTTTCATTCCCTGAAAACATAAAAAAATCATGAAATTGACTCACCCTGTCTATCTTATTTACTTAGGAATCATAGAAAATTAGGCTTGGAAGAGACCTCAGGAGGTCATCTGGAGTCCAACCCCTTGCTCAAGGTAGACTCAGCCCTGATTAAACCATCATCAGTTGTGAAGGTAGCCGTGCCCCAGAAAACATTTAACACCCAGAGATAGTGACAAATTCTATAGAAGTATGTACAGCAGTAGTAGTAATGTGCCTGTCCCCCAGAAACTTGCTTGAGACCACCAAGTCATTCTTTCTAACTTTATGTGACTTGCATAGATTGATTCTTGGTACTTTACATGTGAAAAAGTAGTACAATGAGAGTGGTTTTTAAAGTATTATTTTACTTATTACTGAGCTTGGAACATTAAAATATAAGCGAGAAATATCAGAACTATTTCTGCATTCTGACAGGTTTCTGGTGGCAAAACAAACAGGACAAACAAGTGCAAGGTAATGTCAGCCCTCCAAAGTTCATTCTGTAGTGAAGCAGATGGAATTTGTCAGAAATCCCACCTGCACAATAATATCCCTGGTAATCAGGAACATAATAGGAAAAGAAATCCCTTATTACGTCAAATTATATGTAGGGTTGAAAATACTGCCTATTTTAAAAAGCTCAATTTCCTCTTATAGGACCCATTTTAAGCGTCTTAAAACATTATGGGACATTTGGGTTGACACTGTCGGTATCAACCTTAGGCTGAACTTCTGGAAACATTCAGTTGAAAAAGTTCAGTTCGGTTGTTGGAGAACAAGCATTGTGGGGAAATGTTTTGGCGCACACTTGAGCTCAGACAACCTTGTCTTGGGAATTTTAGCACCCTGAACTTGAATTGTGGTGTAGGAGTATGGCTTTTGCAACTCATGTATGCCTCTTGTTCCCATGAAAGTTCACCCCAATGTAGTTGGTTTATAAGCTTTGAAAAGCAGTGCACACGCTTAGACTTCCTAAACCTTTGTAGGCAGAATCTCTGAAGATCCTGTCTGTGCTGAGAATAGTCTAAGACAGGGCTGAGACTTCTTACAGTTTCAGTTCTTTGTTGCTATATGGCAGATACCAGAAGAGACTCACGCAGCCTGTATGTGTAATATGCTTTGTGTTCACCATGTCAGTGTTAGGCAACATGGAAGAAGAAGTTGTCCAGCCTTGTGCAGAAAAATCAGGGCTAGGGCTGGATCTGGGTCTGGTGCAGGATTGAAGGGAAACTGGGGAAACAGCTCTGTCTGCCGAGCTAGATTATGGAGGGAGAACTAGTGCACTGGCTGGGCAGGGAGCCTGGGAAAAGGCTTTTGCAGGTTGGAGTGACTGAAACTAAATTGAAGGTCTAATGCAAAAGACAGGCAGCCAGCAGAGTTGAGAGAATTTGTGCTGGAGGGAGAGAGGAAACGTATCAGACATGGAGACAGGAAGCAGAAGGCTGGACTTTCTGCACAAGGCTAACTTTATTTTTAATATATTTATTTGATTTATATGCTGCCTCAAGTGCAGAGAAGGGAGTGGGGACAGGCAGAAGAGGTAAAGCTTAAGAATGAGCAGAAGATTTGTCTGCTAGACAAGTGGTTCTCAACCTTTTTGTACTAAAACTCATTTGTAAACGCCAGTCTTGACCCAGTACCCCTCGTTCCTGACCTTCTGCCCCCAGGGCCCAGCCCCCCAGTATGAGGTGGGGATGTGGGCCGGGAGGGGTCCCAAGGAGCCCCTCACAGGCTTGACCTCTTCCAGCCTGCAAGGGAAAAGCCCGTTTCCTATGTTTTTCTGCTTTAAAGGAGAATCCATTTTTAAAATTTGTTGATCCATGTTTAAAGCTTGTTCACAACCCTTTCATATATTCTTGCAACTCGCTTCTGGGTCACAACCCACGGGTTGAAAAATGCTGTGAGAGCATGCACCTGTCCTAAGTGTGGAATTGGAACCTAGGATTCCTGTGCATAGCTGACCTTGTACTAGCAAAGTCCATCTCTTACCCCTTCAGCAGCAGTCCATGCAAAGAGTAAACAGCCTGTTAGGTCAAGTAGAAGAGGTTTTTACAGTAGATCTGTAAGTTCCAGCCCCACTGATGACTAGTGAAGGTATTGATACATGATTTTATGCAGTTTCTAGGGACTGTCTTTGGTATTTTTAAAAACTCAGGTTAAAAGATTATTAAGATTTGTAAAGTCAAGCACTGAAAAGACAGGTAGTACCAAAATTAAGCTTTCCTGTGAAACCTTAAGTAACTCCCTTGTGCCGGCACTCTTTGATAGTCTTTAGTGACTGACCACCATGCTATTTTCTACATGGCTTCTACTTCACTTGGTCAGAAAAGCTGGAATGAGATGAAAGTCTTTTAAGAGAAGATTTGAATATTTTGGAATTAAGACAATAGAACACTGCCCTGGAGAATTCAGTTTCATCCCCGTTGGACAAATCATTTAAGCCAGTTTTCACAAGTGGTCACTATTTGTTGCATCTGTTTCACTAGTACCCGACTTCAAGCCCTAAGGTCTGAAATACAGAATAGCTGCAAATGAAAGCAATGGGAACAATGCTTTGAACATAAGGTGGTACATACAACAAACTTTGCTTTAAAAAAAAATGGTTCTCAGCATTTCATTAGATACTAGTGGATACTCTTGATGCCACTTAAACTTTCTGAATTGGTTCTGCATCTATAAACCGCTATTTTCACACCTTCTCTCTGAGCTGTTGTAAAGAGTAAGTTAATGTTTTAAAAGCGCTCATATTATATCCATGAGCTGCACAGAGTTCCCGGAGAGGGGATTTAATAAATCTTGTCTTCAGTGTGGTGTTTGAATAGTAGGTAGTAAATAAGGCAGTAGGACCACATGTAAATAATTAACAAGGAAGAAAAACTAAACAGAACATTGAATAGATGCTCATCTAGGGAGCATAGTCTTTTCTGCAGATTCACTGAGGCCAGACCTGATAGGAAAAAAAGTATAACTAATGTATTGAAATGTAGTTCTAAAAGGCAGCTGAACTAAGGTTGCAAAGGCAACTTTAATTCTGGCAATGCCTAACAGTGCTTTGCTAGATTGGGCAGACTTGCCTTAATGTTCTTTTATTATGGTCTGTATGCATGAATATAAATGTGTGCTTTAAGCTTATTGTACATTTACATCTATAAGAAAAGAGAAAAATCTTCGTATGTTTTAGCAAAACTCAAATTTGTTTTCTTAAAGTTTCATATCTATCTAGTTCTGGGCACCACACTTCAGGAAGGATGTGGATAAGCTCTAAATGGTACAGAGAAGGACCACCCGTGTGATTAGAGGACAGGCCCTATGAGGAGAGACTCCGGGAACTGTGTTTGTTCAGTCTGCATAAGAGAAGACTGAGAGGTGACTTGATAGCTGCCTACAAGTATGTCAGGGGTAACCTGCCCATGGCAGAGACTCGGACTTGATGATCTTACAGGTCCCTTCCAGTCCTTCTATTCTGTGATTCCCTTTTTCTCCCCCATTCCTCAAATGGTTAGTGCCTGTTAGTTGGACTTTTTGGAGTAGAGACTATTTCAGTGCTTGTTGATTTTTTTTTTTTTTTTAAGTTGCAAAAAAACAGTTTTTCTATCTCCTTGACAATAGGACTGTTCCTTTTGGTAGATGATTGTCAGTTATTGACAATTAAAATTAACTTTTCTACAGGGCTACTTATATCACTTCAAAACTTTTAGGGCATTTTGGGTGCCACTACAACTGAAATAAATAGTATGCATCCTAAAAAAAAAAAAAAAGAGAGAGAGAGAGAAAAGAAAGGAAAAAGGGGGAAAAAAGAAAAATATTTATTAAAAGTGAGTGGTGTATAAGACTTCAGTCACTTCTGCTGATACATATATATTGTTTTTAAGGCAAATATATTATGCTTAAAACAAAAGTGGAATTAGAATCTTATTTTAGTGTTATTCCTTTGAGTTTAATTTTACTTTTGTGGTATGAGCTGTGCTCTAGTTCATACTGTAACTAACATCATGCAAAATTCTCAAATGTAAGTTCAGGTATGTATGCATTGCCTGAAATGTTTCTGCTTAACGTTAAGAAATATTTTAAAGAAACATTTATTCTAGTTACCATATGGCTGATGTGCCTTAAAATATTCAAAGGGGAAGGAAGTAAAAGATTGTGGCAGCTGCAGATCTGTATCTCATTAGAAACTCATGTTTAAGGTGATTGTATTCTTATACTGTGTGCTTGGATTCCGGAGGGTTCTGGTGGGAGGTGCTATGTAATACAGTCAGATCTGGTACGACTAAACAACTAAATCTTTGTGGCATTTGATAGAAAACCGAAGGGATTGTTTTGTGGACAAGAGAAATTATTTTTTTTTCCTGACATAGCATAATGATAGCCTGAATATTAAATATTTTTTCTTTATGGTTTTATTATTTTCTGTAGCCCATCCTGCTACATGGATGAACTGGATACCTTGTTCAGGTCATGGTAGTATTTTAATCTTAAAAGACAGATTTCTTTTAAAAAATTTTGAGTCATTGTGGAGACCAAGATTTTGTACCAGTCCAATCGGAGAATAATCTTTAGGCTTTAGACCACTCCCACCCCCTCACCCATGGTTAAATTCCTTTTATTTCCCCCTCTTGTAGATCGAGCTGGAAGCATCAGTACTCTTGATTCCTTAGACTTTGCAAGATACTCTGATGATGGAAACAGGGAGACAGATGAGCGAGTAGCAGGTGAGTAAGACTTTTCATGTGGGGTGGAAGTCCTAGAATATTAAGCTTGCCATATGGCTTCCATTTTTGGCAACAAGAATTGTAAATTCATGATTTCCGCATAGCAAATGTGTTAAATTTCACTGTGGTTTAATTTGTGTCAGTTTTATTCCACATTTTTTTCAAATATACCGTCTAAGTTGTAACTGATAATTTCATATGAACAAAAAGAAGCAAAATGTACCTCCAAGTACACAGCCCTCATAATGCATTAGATGCTCTACAGACATCTCCCTTTCACAATCAGAGTAGAATCTTAACCGTGTTATAACATTGTTCATTTTGAGAGTAGCTATTCCTTCCTTATCTAAAACTTATGTTTGATAGGCAAGTGTTTACCTATTGAGCGAGCTGATGGTAAGCACCTAGTTTGTTTATGCAGTTCTCAGAAGTACAGAATTCAGCTGTCATGCCTTCCCTGGTCTAGTCTTGAAATGATCTAATTTAGTAAAGCCTACCTGGCAAGAAGCTTTGTGTAATAAGGATCTGTGTTTGATTGTCCATCAAATACTTCCCATCCGCCTAGCCTACATCCAAATTAGCCCAACATTATCACAATCAAAACCAAGTAATTCCTTTGTTGTAATGCAGGGCTGTCTTACATTTAAGTGGCCTAGGGCTGCGCACCTTGTACACTGCCACAATATGAGCCATATGCCTCCCAGACTACATGCTGCATAGACGCTCCCTTCTCCCACCCCCCTGCCTCCCCCCACCATCCTACACCACAGGCAACCCCACCATACCCTTAGCTTCTAAGCCATGGGCTCCCCTGCTGCACCACACCATGCCACCCCTACAGGAGGAAGGCATGGAAATGCTGCTGTTGCATCCAGAGGAGTAGAGAGAGCAGTGGCAGGGTGGGAGCCCAGAGGCTGTAAATTTAACCCCTTGTGGACAGCCAGCTGGATTGCCCTTTAAAGTATCTCTAGCTACCTGCATGGGGCAGTGTCTAGTGATTACCCTGCAGTGCCCTTTTTGGCCCGTTTTCATCATCCTGGGTTGGGTTCTCCAAACAGTCTTGCAGCAGCAGCATCTCCTTTTCCTATTTACTAGCAAGCTCTCTTTCAGACAACTCTCAGTTTCTGAGCTCTACTCTCTTGATCCCATCCTCCTTTATTTTCCTCTGTCCAGCTCCTGCCACTGGTTTTACTTTATAGCAGGGCTGAACTAGTTTGACACAAAGCTCTCTAACCACCATTCTGCCTTATCACAATGACTTTGTCTCCTCCTTTCTCTCTCTGAATCTTAAGATCTTTGGGGGTAAGCAATAAAGAACAGCAAGGATTTCTGACTTTATTGAATTCACAGACTAGGAGTTTGGTTGGAGTTCCAAATTCAACTCCATGTTCATATATCATCAATAGCTTAAAACCTTTTTCGCTTCTTATTGCAGTTTTCTTTTGTATATATAATGTTACCATCATCTGTGACTTTCTACTTGAAAAGTAAAGAAGAGGGAGAGAGAGCCTTCCTTTCTTCCCCCCGCCCCCGTCCAGAGGTGGTCTAGGGGAGAGGATTAGCTAGAACCAAATAAGATGTAATGTAATATACTTGACTTGATGCTACTTCCTGGAGCTATAGATAACTTATTTTATATCTTGCAATTATACAAATGGAACTTAATCCTGTCCACATGATTGTGTTGTCTAGGTTCCCATTTGTGTGCTATTTAGAATCATTTCCTTCCCAGAGTCTCAAATAAAATACAATTCAGCATTTTAAAATGCATCTGGAAGGTGCTAGACTTCAAAAGACTGGATTTTTTCTGTAGAACTGCTGAAAAGTTGCAAGGAGTTGCTGAACTATAATACTTTTTGCCCAGTTGATAAACGTTACTCTCCAGCCACAGAAAATTTGGTAAGACTTTCATGTAGGGGAAATTCACATGAAAATTGGAGCATTGGCTCTACTGTATAATTCCTCTACTTTTGTTAAGATACATGTCTTGAAGAAACCTTAATGACAAAATTAGATAACACTCCAATATAAAATTAATTAAACTTCTATTAAAATCAAGGCAGTCTTTAACATAAGGATCACTTTTAAAATTATTGAGGGCAACAGATGTATTCTCTCTTCACACTGTAACATAGTATTAGTTGTCTTGAACCTTCCTTTTAATTTGTTACTAATGTAGTGGAGTCCACTAGACAAATGTGTGGTAAACTATTGCCCATTTCTATAATATAATACATTTGTGAGTTGCATGGCACATTTCTGTACAATGTCACATCAGTTGAAAGACACAAAAATATTTCCTTAATATCTGTAAAAATTGATTACTGGTTTTGGTCCAAGTAGAGGATTGGATGATGTTTCTGTATAACTGTGTCCTTTTAACTCTTTCCAGAGGACTGAGTCAGCTTGAAATTCCAGTTTAATTAGAGGCAGTACAATTCTCATTTCCTGTTGCTAAGTGAAATATCTACCCAAATGGTAAACTGACTGCACAAGGAAAAGGGGTACTTTTTTAAAGTGTTTATAGTCATACTGGGTGTTAATTCCAACAAAGGAAAGGGCATAAGATATTTCTCTACATTTACTGAGTTTCTTTTAAAAAAAAAAATCAAATAGATATTATTTTAGAGTTAAAGCATCTCCAAGCCACAAAGCCCCTTTTTCAATTTTAAAAAAAGCTTGACCGAGTGTTATCCTTATTTCTCCTTGTTTTCTTGCTTTGTTCTTTCCTCTCATCTAATTAAAGATTCTGATACCATAGCTGCCTTAGGGAGTTAGAATTTCAGCCTTTTGGAAAAGTATCATTTTAAAATCTAACATGCAGGAGCTAGGTTGAACTATTTTTAGTTACCTTTTTGTACTGTTGTTTCTCCCTTTTCAAGGATTTCTGTAGACAGACATGAATTTTAACTGATTTTTCTAGTTGTCACCTTTGAAAGCTGTAAGATAGGAAACATAAGTAGTTAAATAGGCCCTTAGAGAATCACTTTTAAACCCAAAAGTGTGCTGGTTGCTTTTTAGATTTTTTATATAGCCACAACTGAGACAAAACTGGCAAATCTGCCAAATGATGTCCTTTTCTTGTTGCTTTTGCCATTGTATCCAACACCAGTCTTAATTTTTTATTTCTTATTACAGTGGTTCAAGATATCTGCTTGCTTTTTTCTCTCATTTAATTTTCCATATAAGTATTTGGTCTTTAAGTGAGTGTTATAAGCAGAAAAGGAAGTGCCCTGTAAAACAGACCTGTGCATTTCAAATTTCCCATTCCTCTTCATCCTAAATAAAATAACTAAAGGAAAAAAATCTCTCAAGTTCTTCTCTCTGAGCCTGCCATTTTAAGGAATATGGTCAAGGAAAGCTAAGTGAACTCTTATTGTGACACTTTTTTTTTCATTGTGTGTTTAACTGAATAAAGTATAAGACATGAAATCTTAGCAGTGTGGATAACCCTGACAAACCAAATTATACCTTAAAATTGTTTAGCTGCTTCAGTGTCCGATTTAAGTGTAAATGTCAAAAGCTGTGTATCGGAAATTGCCTAATGTATGTGACACAATTCATGTTCTTAAAGCTAACTGTATAAAAGGTGAAAATTGCCAGAAGCTGACCTGCTTTACTTGAAAATTCATTCAGTGAGATACTTAATTGCATACTTCATTTTGAGATCTAATTGGGGGGGAGGGAGAACTAAAGCTTTTGTTGTAGAGATGATTGGGTTATTAATTCTCCTCTTAATGTTCATTATGATAAATTAACTAGCTAATGAAAATATATTCCATTCCTACAGAATAATTTAAAATTCTTAAATTGTAATGTATGACATCCTAGATTTTAAAAAGTAGATGCTCTAACTCAAAAATCTAAGACCAGTGGCTTTTTCATTTTTAATTTTCTCTATAGAAACCTTTTAGTAGTTTTTGATGTGTGCATCTCAAGGTTTTAGAAAATGCAATAGCTACAAACCCTCTATCAAGACCACAGGTTTGGAAATCTGGTAACTTGGGTAAGTGTTGTGCCCTGTTTTTGGATTATGAACTTGACCATGGGAATTTTATTTTGTGTTCATAAAGTTCCTTCTCTGACCATTCGTTCCCCTTCACAGCTATCGATGTGGGTATTAGTACTCACTAGATTACTACTGGCTAGAGTAGCAGAGTACATATCAGTGCTGTGCAAAGTACCATTATGAATGTATTTCTGTAAGTTATTTGGGGACTAGGTCTGAGTGATTGCCTCCTTTTACCAGACCTTAGTGAAAATGAAAGAACCTTTTGTCAGAAGCCAGGTTTTTAAGAATATCTGTTGCACACATCATCAGTGGAAGGGAACCTTTTCCTAGCACAACCACTACATTTCTGACCTGACAAATTTTGTCTGCAAGGGAAATGTATACAATGTCTTCAGAGGACAAGCCTGGAAACAAATATTTACAATCTTTCTGGATACTGAAAACCATGGACTAAATATAGCCAGTGATTTTATGCCTCAGTATAATTTACCTTCTCCCTCTAACTTCTGTGTACCCCACGGGTGGTAATTACACATTTCCTCTTTTGAATGATCTTATAGGTTTATCTATTTCATCTGACCTTTACTTATTTTTCAGCTACTTCTGATAAGTTCTCTGGCAGGTTTACTTCTTCCTTCCCTTTCTTTAAGTGACCATTTTCATTTACATAATATAGTTGTTCTACCTGGGGTTTAGCTTAGGCTGCATTTGCTGTTCTCATGAACAGAGTCTCCTAGTCGCCATGTTAGTCAGAAGTCCCAGGTAGTCAGCAGTGTTAGTCTGAAGTCGGTCAGAACGCAGTGTAATAATGCACTTTTATAGACTAAATAAGATTATATAGAGAGCACAAACTTTAGTGAACCCAAGTTTACTTCATCAAATGCTCTTTCATGTGGCGTCAGATGCCAACTTCCAAATCTATGAGTCACTGTCTGATATTATCACTCAATGCACAGATTCCTTCTGAGCATTTGTAAAGATTGCAGCT